GCGGGTACGGGAGCTTGACCAGGAACAAGATAACGAGAAGTGGATTTGCCTGGGGTGGGCTCACTTTTCTGCCTTTTCCTCCCACGATTTAAGGATTGGCTCAAGCAACCTATCTTACTAATAAGAAAGTGGCTGCTAGTTGTAGCGCCCCTTTATAAAAATGATATTCTTCTGCGAGACTCCATCCAACCAAATCCCATTTTTGAAGGATGTATTCTCGGAAAACATCATCGCGAAAGCTTTCCGGTTGGAGGTGAGCTAAAATGGAATGACGGGGATTGAATGGCCTGGAAAGCTGGTAGGGTTTGGGGCGAGCTGTGGGCTACATTAGATATGGGTTGAAATGGCGAGAGCTGAGATGACGGGAAGAAGCAGACCCATCGAGAATCGAGGAATGACCATGTACTCCTTCCCTTACGGGGCTCATGGAGTAGCGTATTTCGAAAGAGGAAGACGGGGGGTGAGAAGCCATAGCAAGATTATATGCATTTCGGGCCTCAGTTTCTGCATCATGATCCACCTAATATGGGTATTGTGACTGGCATATGGATTTTTAGAATTGTTGGAAGGGGACTGATGTTGATTTATGAAGGCGAATATTGGATAACTGAAGTTAGGAGGATTGTAGAGTGACAAAGGAGCTACTTGGGATTGGAGGAATGCCGAACGCATTGCAGACATGCCTTTGGATATGGTTTCCGCTGATTGGATTAGTCTGACCATCATCTTCTCTAACCTAGTCAAATAAAGACTGGCATTCATCTCCATAGCCCTTTTTCTTTAGCAGTACAGGCCGGCTGGTCGGGGTTGTTTCCCCCCCGCTACCACAAAGATCACTGCCCAGCCACCGCTCGAGGGTACCTCCGCTCCCCAACTGAGCAAAATGGATCAAATTCGCGGGAAAGGAGAGATAAAAAAAGGGAAGGTTCTGCTGAGACTCAAGTTCCCCTGCCGGAGCTCCCCGAACCTGAAGTAGAAGTCGAGGGGCTGCTCAGTGAGAAGAAGCGTCAAATGATTCGGACAGTTGTCGCGCTGGCGGAGCAGGGAGCCTACAGGGAAGATTGGGGCAATGAGGAGTTCGACGATTTAGCCCATCGACTACATCTATCGCTGAACCAACTTCCGAATCATCTACCGAATCGCATAATCAACCGGATCCACCTAAACCTAATAAATTTCCTCTAGACAGAATGAGGCTCTCGTTGAGAGATCCATTAGTGATTGGCCCACCCCTCCTGGCAAAGAAAGAAAGGCAGGTTCAGGCGATTGATCAAAAAAAGATTTCCTTCCCTTTCTTTATGACAGAGCAATTGAATGCAATTGAATGCAGCGGTGCAGGGCCTCTAAGATTATGAATAAGCTATTCATTTTCCGTCCTATTGAATAAATTCGGCATGATGGTAGTAGAGTAGTCGATCTGATCTCGCGCGCGGGCGGATAGAAATGCCTATAGATGAGGTAGGCGAGGCTAGCTTGCCGGCAAAAGGCGATTGTCTTTTGTTTGATGAGAACGAGAAGGGCAATTGACTGCAGGCCTCTTGGGTGGGGGCAACTGGAGGAAGACAGCACGGGGCAAAGCAAAGGGCAGAGCTTCGAGTGACTTTTTTCTTTGCTCTTCGACAGCCCGTCACTCGAAGCTCCTCTGTCGCGCCCTAGCCGAGCGGTCATCGCCTGCACAAGCAAGCAGATTAGCTCCATCATTCCATTATTGTGCCGGCAGGCCTGGGCGAGCGAGGTAGGCTTAGATTAGAGGGAGGGGGACTGCGAACGTCCCATGAAGGGGGAACCATGCATTCCTCTCGGGCTGGGCTCTCGCGTGTCCGGGGTCCGATCAGATCAACCAGCGACCGGTTTACGGAACAAGGAGTTAAGCAAGGGCCAGGAGATTGATGAAAGAAACTGGCCGAAGTCAGTGTTGTGTTCAACTCCGCGGTTGGAAGGATTGCTTTCTGCCGTCTGTCTTTTCCTTCTCTCTCTTCTCTTAGCAAAGTAGGCTCAAGTCAAACTTTTGGCTTGCTACAAGCTGGGCTCAGGGACTGCAGTCAGCCGCTTCCCCTGTAGTCGTCAGCTCGTTTTTGACAGATCCGATCGGGTGTTCATAATCTGGAGTAAAAGGATTCGAACCTTTGCATGCCGGTACCAAAAACCGATGCCTTACCACTTGGCTATACTCCATACGGCCTGTTTTGGACGGTAGAACGGGGAGAGGGGGAAGGGGGAAGCAGGGCTCGAAGAACGAGCCGAGCCGTGCAAGGACGCGGGGATATAGCAAGTAAGCAGAAAGGTTCTTTAGGACCGACTACAACAAGCTCACGACTCTAATAGAAAGAAAGGGTAAGCTCTCTGCTCTATTTGCTTGCAATGCTATGCCTATCAAAGTAGGCGAACGCTTCTGTAACCTTAGACTCGTTACGCTGTTCGACTGAACTCGTTGGCTCCACGTCCACCGAAAGTAGGTAACCTTCGTCACCGTTGGTTCCCGTAACCAAACCTTTCTTATCTTTTTTTTATTATGTCTTTCTTTCTGAAGGGCTTGCGGTTCATTACACCAAAGGCTTTCAGTGAACTATTGAAGCTATCGAGAGAGTACCAAATGCTGACGGTAACGAAGGGGCCGATGCGGCCGGTTACCGGGAAAAGGTTCCCGGGAAACTACGTTCCCTTTGTAAAGTAGGCCTTTTTATAACTAATTAGAGTTGACATGAAATGGATCACGGAAGAAGACATAAAAGATGAATGAATGATTCAATCCCTTCCCACTCACACGGGTTCTTCTATTGAAGACCCGGGCGTACATAAGAGCGGAACCTAGATAGAACGCGGAGCACCGGCCCCGGCCGCCGATACTGTTACCATGCTTACCAGCTCTTACCATTGCCGCCTATAGATATAGATGGGAGGTAGGCGGGGCTAGCTTGCTTCTCTTCCCCTAACCTGCACATCTTATGTGCGAATAAAAGGAAGCGAGCGGCTCTTCGCTTAGTAGACGGCCGCCGGACGACGACCCCTTCTTGTTCTCGCCCAGCCGCTTCTTTTTTTGTTTTTTTTTCTTTTTTGAGAATCCTAGACTAAAGAAGAAGGCTCCTGAATCAGCGCAGGGAAAAATCCGCAAGCAGGAGAACTTTACTAACCTGCCGCCGGTTACTTTATCAGGGCTCCGCAGGAGAAGAAAGAAGGTCCGGGTCCAATTTCTAATGAAGCGAAGGTCCCCCTTACTCCCTATTCTCTCTTCAAGCTTTATAAAGCTCTAAGAGAAAGGGTTGGTTAAGAACTATTGACTGTAAACGATAGCAGTTACAGTCACTCAATGGATATGCTCGCCTTTGGAATGAAGATGGATGAACAGGCACTTGAGCCTGGAACTGATGAAATTCGGGGAAAACATGGAACCGGTCACTATACCGGGGGGGCGAGACATGACCGCGACTTAAGATTCAAGTACCGTTGAAAAGACTAAAGGAACGGGGGAATGACTACCTGTAATAAAGCACAGGCTAATACGAGCCGACCAGAAGAAGCAAGGCTTTAGATTACCAGATCCTGGACACAATCTTCCTAGAGATGGAGAGCCCCTGCCTTTTCTAGCCTCTCCTTCTTGCTTGCTTACCTAGCTCTTGTCTTAGTGACTCTTCCTCTTTTCTAGGTTTTTCTGAGTGTGAAAACGGTAGATTTTTCATTTGCCAATGAATTGGATCCGCCTCGATTCGATCAATAATGGGATTCTTGGCTAGAGAAAGGTTCTGTGACATGGACGCCCAGCCCAACTCGGTCGGTCGGTTGGCCCACCTAAGATATTAAAAAATTATCGATCGATTTGATCAAATTTGAAAAAGTCTTTCTCACTATTCAGAACAGTGGAGCTTTCGATCAAGATGTTCTCGCCTCCCCCGTTTGGGCTCTCGCTCGAATCGGAACCTTTATGCGTTGGTAGGCTTTCGACTCAATCTAATAGCCTACCTATCGGGCGCCAATAAAAGAGAAAGTTTGCGCATGGGCTCATTATCTGATGCAGAACCGATGCGAGAGGGAGAATCAATATGGGAGAAGCGGGGATTGAGAGCTTTCAAGAACCAGTGGAAAGGAAAGACTTGTTCCCTGCATTCCTTTCTTTCCAAAGAGAGTCATTAGTGCTAGGGCATAAAAGCTTTGATTGAATGAACGCCACCTTGGTTGTATTGTTTTCAAACAAATCCAATGTTGGGCCAAGCGTTGCCAGCCGGTAATAGCCGAAGGCAAAAAAAAAAGGGGGAGATAGAGAAGAGGAGATTCAGAAGAGTCACTCCACTCCATGGATAGTGCACACAGATTCTTCTTTCATTTGCAATTCCTTTCGGGTCGGAAACGTGGGCTGCTGGTGGGGCTGTGCCCCTTCTCCCTCTTCTTCCGCTTTACAACCGGAATAAGGAACCTTAGAATTCACCCCGATTCAAAAATGGGATTTGAGAGGCTAGCGAATCGGAATTGTATGGAATGTCCTACTCCTGCCCGAGCTTTCCGATCAACCAATCCCCTATTTCATTTCAGGGACATCTGTGTTAGGTAGGCCCAGGGATCACTGATTAGTCGAATGAGCCCATCCCTCTGGCCTATCATTTGTTGGTCGATCCGGCTGGCGGCTCCTGCGTCTGGGGCCCCTTTATACTAGTTTGCTGCTAGGAGTCCCTCTAGTCGAATCCATAATCCATAGAAGTCCCAATAGAAGTTTACTGACATGGCTCTTCCATCGGCGATCTACTGCTCCCTCTTAGTTGCAGATGCCCATGCTTTGATTCGAAAGCCCTAGCCAGTGATGAATCCCCAGGAAGAGAGGACTATTGAATTCCTCCTCCCTTCAGTCCAGTTTGAACCCGTCCCAGCAACGAACACCTTCCTACTGCAAGGCTTTGCTCTGCCCTTCCACTAGAATCCACTCCGGGTCGGAGGAGCAGCTAGTCCAACTTCTTGAGCAGCCGAGATATTGAAGAACGAACATTTGCTTGAATTCCTTGCCTCACCCTGAGATGAGAGGGAAGGTCGATTTGACTCGAATCCTGGACCTGATCTTTAATCCTACACCGGTTAATGATGCGATGGGAGAAGTTTTTCTTTTGTCATTTTTCATCAATGCTGGCCCAGTCGAGGTTCGTCCATGCCCAATCCCAATGGACAAACCTTAGCCCCTAGCTCTATAATCCACCCTACCCAGTCCCTGAAAGCCCTCCCGGGGGCCTAGCCCTCTTTCTTCGAGTCTTAAGCGGCTTTCATCGTTGACGAACACCTGCGCTAATAAGACAAAGAGGGAGTCTATGCCTTGAATGAATCAGTAAAGTAACAACGGATTAGTGGAATGAGGGATCAAGAGACAGATAGGGGGAGAATGGCAATCATTGGTGGACCTTCCCTTGAACGAGTCACGGAGCTCTCAACGGAGTGGTTTAGGTTCTGGAATTCCATCTCTAGTTGGGGCTTTCGGTTCGAAGGTTATAAAATGTGGTGCGGGTTCATCTCTCTCGACCAGTTCAGGTTCAAGGGAGGGTGATCGAGGGGACCCAGACTTGAGATCTCTTCTCTATGGCGGGAGGTCTCTTTCGTATCAAGAGTGTTTTGGGGAGGCCAGGGAAGACGGATTGGATCGAGAGGCGATGCTTATACCTCTTCTTTCTCGATAGGATTCCCATCATTTGAAGTCTCCGGCGAAGGAGATAAGGGCGAGGGACCGAACATGTTCTATCCTCAACCTCCATCCGTCATTAGTAATCTCAATTCGCTTTTCCTATTCACTAGTACAATGCGCGCTACAACTAGCAGCCCCTTACTAGTAAGGGAAAAGGCTAGCGCGCAAGGGCTGATGAAAAGCCAGCAACTTGTTAGGACTAGGTTTTGGCTTGCCCCTTTCTTCTTATTAGGAAGATAGGTTTGGAACCCTATACAAGGGGCTGCTTGCTGCTCACCCCTATCTCTAAAGGGGCGCACACTCGTTACCACTAAACGACGAAGCCGGGAGCGGAAGGAGGGACTTGAACCCTCAACCTCAGCCTTGGCAAGGCTATGCTCTACCAATTAAGCTATTTCCGCCAGCTACGGTAGTGGCGAAGCACTACTGAGCAATTCACGTATCACTTGATACGGACGACTTCTGTTTTTCCGCCGGACCACAGTCTTGACCTCCGATCGAGCTACGAACACGAGTAGGTAGGCTAGGGGGGCGGCAGGGCTGCGCCTTTTCAATCAATCTCCGGCCGCTCCGCTATTGGTGCGAGCTGTAAGGAGTCTTGATCTCGAGTCAAGCTGGGGCGTCATCTGTCTTTTAAGTTAAGTCATTTCCTAAGACGGCTCCTCTTATTCTTTCTACGATAATCCAAACTGCAGCTCCACGAGTCTGCTCGGAACCAGTCGATTCCTGAGCCATTCGTTCTCCCCTCTCGGTTGGCCTTTGCCAGCCACTAGAGCAAGTAAGAGAACCTACAGTGAATGAACTTAAAGAACCGCAGATTTTGACCGGATTGTACACCTTTGTGTCTGGCTATGTATATGGATGTGCATAAAGAAGGGACGGGGCATCTCTATCCTTTTTTGGGGGAAGAGAGAGGGAAGAAGCTGCAGCGGCACCTCACGAACTTCTTACTGGAGCAGTACTATAGGCATTTTCGAGTGTTTGGATGCACGTCTTTTGTTCATATTCCTGCGCAGTTAAGAGAGAAATTGTCCCCAAGGAAACCACTTGTGTCTTTCTTGGATATGCTCAGTCCGGGTATAGACGCTATGACGTGAAATCCAAGAGACTCGATGTATCCTTGAATGTTCTCTTTAATGGGGGCGCTTCTTTCCTTAACCTAATTAATCAGCCCCGGGGGAGAATGATGATGGAGATGTATTGCGGCCTTCTCCTGTTCATCAACTCTAACCGCATTCTTCTGCAGTTGATGTTACGGATCAGCCTCACGCTTCAAGCCAGCAGCTTTGCTCAGCATCTTCTGCCGATTGTCAGCCTGTTCAGCTGACCTCAGAGGATTCCAGTCACCCGGCACAGCATGTTTATTCTCGGCAGCGATTACAGTCTCTTTCCCAGGGTCAGACTACTCCATAAGATCAGCAGTCTAGCCCAGTTGCTTCCCTTTTAGGCGCTTCCTCTAGTTAAAGAGTGAATTCAGGAGTTCCAGGCAGGCGATAGGGGCTTCGGGGGGATAACATGAATCGTATAAGCCTGAACCCTCTTAGTTATGTGCTTCCCCCTTCAAGAGCTGGGCTACTACCCTAATCAAGTTCTTCCTAGCGTATAGTATTGGGCAGATTGAGTCTTTCTCTAATATAGTACCTAATAGTTAGATTAAGCATTAGGCGCAACCTCGACTATAAAGCATCCCGTTAATCTCTTCTCTTTCTGTCTTCAAGCTTCAAGCTTTTGCCTAGGAGCTCGGATTCCAGTCCTCTCGTTAGAAGGCAGCATAGTTGGAATTTCTTCCTGCGGCGAATAAAGGAAGAGAAAGGGCTCTCTAATGCCTTATTTGTACGATATGATGCAAGCAAGGAATCCTATTAGAGTGATGCAAGTCAGCCTATAAGATGAAACCGAAGATACTAAGCCTGGAATCAGTCGCTCTCTATGTAAATTTCTCTTTAGCAAGAAGCCCTGTGAAAGCTATCAGATAATGACTTGATAGAGGTCCCTCGCTGACGCCTTCATTTTTCTTTTTTTCATCTCTTTATGATATGCTATCTTCCTTTAGCCAGACTTCCCGCATTACTGTGATCAAGAGGAAGCGCTAAGGTCTATCCTTTCCTTAAGTTAAGAGTGAAGGACGGATACTGGCTCTTTAGGACTGATAGTAGCTGCTCTTCTGGTAGTATAGCTGGTAGCTCTGCTTATGCTAGCTCTCTTCTTTCTTATGAGAGAGATTCGCAATAGGGGCATTTCTCTGTAAGAAGAAGGCCTGTTACAGCTATCAGATATAGGGGATTTACTTCACCTTGAATAACTATCGAAAAATGGCTTTCTTTTCAGCCGCTTTCATATTTCATTAAGGTAGTTTGCTTACTTAGTGCTTTCGCTAAGGTGACGACTTGAATGACACTTTAATTGTTGATCAGAGGAAAGGGAAGACCTCGATAAGGAAGAAGAACAAGAGCTACATCGGCAGGACTCTCTGCAAGTGGAAGGTCGCATAGGGGCTCTCGGGAAGCTCTTTCCTTTATACCAGAAGGAAGATGGTCGAGGAGATCAGTAGCTAGAAAGCTCCTTTGGGAGAGCAAGGTAGCCAAAAGTCTATTAAAAGTACATCACTATTAAGTCGACTACAGTAGTATCATGAGCATGTAACTACATCCCGGAACCAAGGAGAAGAATACTCTGTAGTAGCAGCAGCAGTGGCCGAGCATCAGTCATCAAGTGAATCAGTAGATGCCCGCGCACGTGAGCAGCAATCACTCCATTGCAGCAAGACAAAAGTAGCATATGTCACATGGTAGATCATATCCAAGCAGAGGTGCACAAGAACGAGCACAACTTCACTCAGAACTTGTGACAAAGACTTGGTGTGCATCAGAACACGACTGAAAGCCCTTGCTGCTTCTTCATTCCAGGTGAAGCTATCTTTATTCAATTCAGTAAATTGGTCAGTGGCTTGCTGATAACCCCATACCCCTTTCAAAATTTTCGGTAATAGCCTGTTAAACCCAGAAAGCCTCTCAACCCCTTGACAGTAGTGGGTTGTGGCCAGCTCAACATGCTGTCAATCTTGCTTTTATCTGCTGATACCCCTTCACTGCTCACCACATGCCCGAAATACTCTAACCTTGCCTGACCGAAAGAGCATTTCGATTTCTTCACAAACAACTTGTGTTGTTTTAAAGTTTAAAACACTATCCTCAAGTGTTGCAAGTGGCTATCTAGGCTGTCACTGTAAATCAAGATGTCATCGAAAAAAACCAGTAAAAATTTCCTCATATAATCCATGAAAACCTCATTCATTAAAGCCTGAAATGAGGCTGGAGCATTAGTGAAACCAAAGGGCATATTAACTCGTAATGGCCCTGGTGAGTTCGAAATGCAGTCTTGTGTATATCATCTTCAAACACCCGAATCTGATGGTAACCACTTCTCAAATCAAGCTTCGAAAATCTCCTGCTACCATGTAATTCATCAAGCAATTCCTCAGGATGGGGAATTTATCTTTAATGGTGATGGCATTGAGTGCTCGATAATCCACGCAAAATCTCCAGGTATTGTCCCTTTTTTTCACCAGCAACACTGGAGAGGCATAAGAACTCACACTTGCCCTGATAATACCACTTAACAGCATCTCCTTGACCTGTTTTTCTATCTCTTTTGGATGTGGGGGTATCTGTAGGGCCTTACACTCACAGGCTCACTACCAGGTTTTAAGGGAATGTGGTGGTCGTGATTCCTCTTAGGAGGAAAAGGTCAGGCTAGTCGCTAAAGGCTTTGGCTTTACTCAAAGAAAAGACTTGATCCAAGGAACTATACAAGTATGGTGGGAGGCCTAAAGTCTTTCACGTTGACCCGGCCCGACATGACGTTTGCTGTGAATCAAGTCTTTCAGTTTATGCATGCTCCTCGACAAGCACATCTACAAGCTGTCAAAAGAAGACTCCGATACTAAGAGAACTATTTGCGATGGGTTCTTCTACCCAAATAACTCCTATGCAGATGGGGCTGGAGATCCGCTCCTGCTCTGCGTGTAAAGTAAGACAATGAAAAAGAAGGCTTCGCTTTGTTGCGACTGCCGCCGTCTTCGAGTGAAATATCGTTTTAGTAGTCCCGGTAATGGAGTCTTTCGAGATAAGACTGAGGCTTATTTTTTCTTCGTCGTACGTGACTTTGTCTCAACCGGTAGAAAAGAAGTTAGAAAGAGGAATTGACCTCGAAACTATATATATGAAGGGGCATGTTCAACTTCAAAGACCGGTGTCGCATAATCAGACTGAATGAAAGTTAGAATCACTGACAAAGTACTTTGGTCTCTATTTGTCGCTACACAACGAATATTTAGTCTCAAGCTTCCTGGAGATACTGGATAATTAGGAACTGCGTATCGCCTAGCAGCTAAAGTACTTGGTGAATTAATAAAACCAGTGATGCTGATAAGCGCTTACACTTTTTTTAGAATATAGCAAATAGTCTGATTTCTTTCCATATTGCCTATCAACTGACTAAGATTCCATACCTATCCTGGATTTGAACCTAACTTCTCAACAGACTTAGTAGAGTTCACGACCCTTGCCACTATGACTCCAAGAAAGTTTACGAGGTCAGTGAGCAGTGTCGGGCTTTCTTTTACCTCCTTTGCCCATTAGTCCGTAGTTAGGGCTTCTTAAGACAAAAGAGACTGATACAATTGCATAAGTAGTAAGGAATAGTTTGATAAGAACCAGAGCGGATAGATGGCAAGTAAGACAGTCACAGCAGGGCTATAACCAGCAACCTTCGGTTGATTCATTGAAGTTTAGAGTCAGTGTCTTTCTATCGAATCTGAGTTACCGGCTCTCATTTGAAAGACCGTCCCTATGACATGGTCTTAAAGCATAGTTTGGACTGCCCTAAACTTTAAAGTCTTTGTAAAGGATGAAGTTTCCTATTTCCTCGCCTATCCCTGCCTTTGACCTCGCACCGATGGCTATTGCCAGCTAACGCCCTAAGTTAATAAAAAGC